ATATATATGTCTTTTAATATATTAGTATATACATATGCATATATACCTTGAGACAAATCACAATGCTGGATTGCATAGTCATCTATATCTTAATCAAAAATACTGAAGACTATTGCCATTATCATATAACACACCTGGATACATAGCAGCCATGGGAGGAATATATAGCAATGTTTTGCCATTCATCGCGGCGAAACGAGCATTTTGGGTCTCTTCGTCAGCTTTAGAAAAGTCAGTCATCTTGTTTGGGTATCAAGTAAGCACAACTGGTTGTAAGATGCGAGTGTGTTTTATAGCTTTATATAGGGTATAGGCGGAATGCACAAGTGGATATGTGATATGCACGTGTGAGAATAGGACTGCAGCACTATTATCCTGCAAGTGTTTCTTTACGTGTAATCTGGCGTTGGCACTCTCTGAAAATATGCTGAGCTCATCAGGGATCAGACTGCGATCCAAGTGTCGTGTGATGGTCGTCTAATTATCTATTACTATATTTGGCTGTGATACAAAATACACAATTTTTCAACAAAAAAAATTATATATATATGTTCCAAGTTCTCCTTTGCTCGCGGCGCTCGTGCGCTTGTCAACTATTTGTTTTTTAAATGTACACTCAATTTTTCGTCATTTTGCCACAGAGCTTTTTGTTGCGATAGTAACTATAGCATTTCAACTGTTTATGTGTCTATTTAGCGTATTGTATCCTATAGTGTTGCATAATTTTAATGTTGCCACCTGCGTTTGGCCTATTTAGTCGCACTTCCCCTTAATCAAATATGTGTGCACTGTCTGAATCAACGGCAATCTAGATATCGATATGTGGTATTTTGGCTTAGAATTCTAGTTGTATCTTCTATTGTGAACTCTAGTTGTATATTCAATATGGGCCTCAGTCCTAGATGTAGTATGTGTGGTCTATGCGCTACACATCAACTCACGTCGGTCTCAGCATTTTGAAGTCGACCAGCACTGTGCGAATCAACAAATTCTGGGGTATGGATATGACGTTTGCACCCTATGGCCTATTAGGGGCGCCATATAGCACAGTACATGTTGTATTGCAATGGAGATTTATGGCGCAACGCATTAGCAGTCCGGTCGAAATAGGTGGTAACTGTTGCTCAACAGGGATCATATTAATATATATATAAATATATATGTATGTATGTATGTATATATATATATATATATATATATATATATATATATATATACATATATATTCATATACATATACATATACGTATGCATTATATTATCTATTCATATATATATATATATATATATATGTATGTATGTATATTTGTATTATGTTATATTATATTAATGGCTGACCTGTATCTTTATCGCTTATGTATATTTTGGGCGTATGTTTGCAGAGTACAATGTGCGCATGCTGTCGGCATATACTCGTAGGTTATGAGGTTCGCATATCATGTTGACTGACTGTATTGGTAGCTCGTGTATATTCGGCGTGTGTGCTGACAGTACGGATTATAGTTTAGACTTATTCAAGGCTATGTTTATTTGACACGTGTTGGTGTCATTCATTACTATGGATGACTTACTCGTAGATTCCGAATCACCGAGTTGTTCTTATTTTTTAAGGATAAGAAGTGAACAGGTCCTTAGAACCGACCCACTCTTAGACCTGTTCTTCACAACGTTGCCGATGATGGCAACATAAGTCATGGTTGCTTTTGACGACATTGTCATATTTAGAAAGCGCACTTTATACTCAAGGCTGATTATACTATTATCCTGAGCATTACTTCACAGATGAATGGACTCTTTGCGATCACAATTGGAGTGGCCAAAGCAATCCGCCTGCGAGATTTGCAATGCCCCTAAGTAATAGTTGCGGGATGTGCGCCTATACACTGGTCCCATATTGGGGATACAGGCAGTTCAACTCAGTATGTATCTGTACATTTACTTTGTGCTGTAGCAAGAGCGACTAACACCAGGTTGAAGCATGGTGGACACGCAGAGGTGGATGCGAAACATACATGCAATTACATTAGACTTCGTTATGAATGTGATGTGAATGTATACTAGTGTTTTTTTAGTATCAATCACTGCCAACTCGGCTCTGAATTCATTCTGTGAAGTTTAAGTGTACATTTTATCACTCATTGTCGACCCAATTTAAGAGCAAAATAAAGACAAAATATATTTCAAATTTATCGACTTCGACTTAAATCTTGTGAGCGGTTATGAAAACTGGAGAGCTCTCGTGCAATCATACAATTGTGGTCGCAATGCGGCAAAGCACGTACTTGTGGACTCTCGAGAAGTTTATGTCTAGATTACACACTAGATGATGCACACCCGCATGACTACGTTGACGGATGTGTGTGAGTAGTGCTGTACATGTTATGCTCTGTATAGTACACTTAGCATGTGCTTTCTTGTTTGAGACTTGCTGGTCGAGCATGCAATGCGATGTATTGTAGCACCATCATATATACTAGATAATTTTATGCATTCATAATATATGTATAAGTGCAAATCCTGTTCGTTCGATTTTTAAGATTTTCATGGATAGACTGCTGTTGTGTCTATTTAAAGGGGTATGATCAACGTTAGTTTGTCTGCCATTTACAAAGCTGTGTCGCTCAAGGTATATTAATATTCAGCCTGCGCTTACTTGTGTCGACACAGAATATGGTCGATTCGGCAATCACCGTTATAGTCAGCCGAAGCACATGGTGTACACGCAGAGATTTACCCATCTATGTCAATCTTAAAGCGTGCGTTGACTATTCATGATATGTCGAAACGTATGGAATATCGAATCGACACATACAATTACAGACGCCTAAATCACGCTTACACATACAATTACAGACAGCTAAAACACGCTTACACATACAATTACAAGCAGCTAAATCACGCTTTGCATAAATAAATAAATATACCCAACTACATCAATCTTGAACCTTAAATATCAATCTTATCCTGTGTTTTTATTCATAAAATGTGTAGGCGAGTATGATTCGTTCAAAAAATGATGTAGAATAAGTTATACCGAACGGTCCATTGAATACCTAAACAGGGCCTGCGGATTTTACGCGAGCTCATTTACAATACACGTCACACGAACTAGATATTCAAATATAACTCACCAGCTTATCGATTGGTGCTGCCATAAACACAACACGTATACATGACCCATTGTACACACAATATTAGTCAACAAAAAGTAGCCGGGGGCATAGTATATAGGCATAGGGGTGTTATTAGAGGGCAAAATTGACAATATCAAACACGTTATTAACTATGTGGCGTACCATACACACGGTGCAGCAGAGTGCCGTGCGATCGTCGCATCTACTTAGGCGATGGGCATCAAGCAACACAGCATTGGCACAAAACACAACAGCACACGCACGTATATCGCACCACAAAGATGTTAGGTTGAAAGTAGGAGAGACTGTGAACGAATTCACAATCAAAGGTACGGAGAGCATACCTGAGCTTAGTTTGACTGCTGGTCAGCATGTGCATGATAAAACCGGTGCAGTAGGCTTACATATTGCCAGAGCGGATGACAACAATGTGTTCAGCATAGAATTCCGGTATGATATACTTTTAAATCATTTGTGCTGTTTGTAAGTCTACTATGTAAATATGTATCAGTCGATCGCTGCTTTGAGAAGGAGGGTAACTCGGTGAATGATCGCGCAAAAGGGCCTGCGAGGTTTACAAGTGCATCACTATATATGTACGCAGATAGACGCCACCACCCATGCATGCCATAGTTAGTAATTCAAGAATTTTTTTGGGCTGCGTATGTATCTGTTGTCATTTTCGATCGTTGTGGTATATGCTGTACTCTCGTCTGGGCTATCACGTGCACAGAACTAGTGAGATGCCTTTTGAGATCATACTGATAACCAACACGTATATGTGGTGGTGATGCTATTGCCGGTTTGATCTATTCAGGGAGGACTAGAGATTTTCTGCGTACACGACTGTATTTACTCATAAATATCCTTGTATGAATGCAGTCGGGCTTGCGCTAATACCTTTCGAGATCGTTGGGCTATTTATAAGGGATGGTGGATTGGTTCAGTCAGGGTTGCGCTAGTAGTCTTTATCTTAACTGTGTAGACAACTTCAATTTTACCAGTATGTATACTAGTATACGTGAGGCAATCCGCTGGTAATAAGGCAGTGCGCACAATTAGTACTTCTGCTATTTATAGTATGCTATTTATTGTATGCTATTTGTAGTATGCTATTTATTGTATGCTATTTATAGTATGCTATTTGTAGTATGCTATTTATAGTATGCTATTTATAGTATGCTATTTGTAGCACGGTATTTGTAATATGCTATTTATAGTATGCTATTTGTGGTATGCATGCTTTTTATAGTATGCTATTTGCAGTATGCTATTTATAGTATACTATTTATAGTATGTTATTTATAGTATGCTATTTTGAGTATACTATTGATAGTATGCTATTTATAGTATGCTATTTATAGTATGCTATTTATAGTAGGCTATTTATATTATGGTATTTTGAGTATGCTATATATAGCATTCTATTTGTAGCATGCTATTTGTAGCATGCTATTTGTAGTATGCTATTTATAGATTACTATTTGTAGAATGTTATATATAGTATGCTATTTTTAGTAGGTTATTTATAGTATGCTATTTATAGTGTGCTATTTATAGTATGCCATTTATAGTATGTTATTTATAGTGTGCTATATGTAGTAAACTATTTCTTAAGATATAGTGATATTGTTGTCCGTAGCTCAATGCAGCAGCACGTTTAGTCCATACAGCGACTGTACTCGAATGAGTTTGTATTCGTATGGAGATCGTTCTGTATGTGTGCAATCTCGAGAGAGAGAGAGTGCTCAGGGTGCACTTGTGACTGCGTGAATATACTTCCAGGTAGTGCTAAAACAGTGCCGCTATGTATGTCCGTGATCGAACGTTGTGTACATTGGGTTATTGTACAGCAGCAGACGTGTCAGAGTATTGTGATTACAGACGTGTCAGAGTACTGTGATTACAGACGTGTTTGCGAAATCGTGTGTGAACCCGTGCGATACTTTGGGAGTTGTTGTAAGGCTGTTTAGACAATTGGAAGCCTCGAGATTTACTACATGTAGGCTACTTAGATGTCGTATTCGGACGATGTGACTTGTTTATAGATATTCGCGCGCGTCTTTGTATGTGATTATTTGAACAAATACAAATGTACTGGGGCTAACTGTATACCCTTATGAAATAAAATACTTCATCGAATGCGTTAACTTGATAGGGCGGCTACCTACAAAAGGGCCGCGTAACCGTACGATTGTCCCTGCGTTATGGTCATTTCCGATAGCGCGTGTTTGTGCATGGAAAAGGGTTGGACTTTTCTATATGAACGTTTGAATATCACGTGATGTGTGGGTTATTGGTTGTGTGGTAGTGCTGCCATATGCTATATGAGGCGACATGGTGTACCCATTTGATTTTGGGCTGACCAATCCCTGTAGTGTGTCTGTATTCGTTCACGTCTATTATATTTAATCCTGCCGACAAAAGCGAAGGTGGGGGGGGGTTGACGATTGACTTTGCCAATACGTTACGAGGCCTAACTCGACCACTAGTCTATGAAGCTCTTGTCGTTGCATTCAAGCACATATAAAGGCACCCGGATGTGTGGACTTCTCATGCCCTAGGGGTCCATTCGTTTGCACCACCCTCCACCCACGCCGCCTATGACACTAACTGTTGTGTCATCTTGCCAACTGGCGACACATGCCACTCCACACCCTATCCCTTCACTCACACCAAGCCGTGTGTCTCCTCACCTACAGCACACCACCCGAAGACAGCAGCGGTGTCACACACGTGTTGCAACACGTATCTCTGTGCGGCTCGGAGAAGTATCCCTGCCGAGACCCGTTCTTCAATATGTTGTCCAGGTCTATGGCTACCTTCATGAATGCCTGGACGGCCAGTGACTATACCATGTATCCCTTATCCACGCAGAACGCTAACGACTACAACTACCTGCTGGACGTGTACTTGGATGCGGTGCTACACCCCAGCATTCGCGAGGTACGCATGCACCTGTTGTGTGGTATTGTTTGTACTGGTAGTATCCGGCTTTGCACTTCTATGAGTACACGAGGGACCCATGGACACTCGAATTCGACTGAGGTCACTTTTGTACTGGTTTGGTTTTGCGTGCAGTTGTTGTATGCTATTCTACGTACGGTCGTGTTGAAACATGTGTCTATATGTGTGAGAGGTGTCTAGAATCGCTTGGTCTAAACGGTGGCTACTATTGTATGGAGTGCGTATTCCCGAATGGCTATTGTTTCATAGCGGACATTGCTATCTACCGGCGGCGTTTGAGGGGGTTAGATGCAGGCTATGTCCACATAAAGTGAACCGCTGAGTCAACTGTCGTGTTTTTGCCCTCATGTGACAGTGCATGATATTTGAGAATGAGAGCACGCCTCTCTTCTCTGTCAAATGGGTCTGTGATTAAACAAGCTCGTTTAATATCTGACTTTTCTACTTCTTCTTTGTAAAAGCCGGGCCTCCACATTAGAATCTTGTAATACAAAATCTGAATCAGAACAGAGGTCAGACTCTCGAGGAGGAGATTCAGACGGCTGGGACACAGATGATTACCTGCGTGAATTGCGAAAGTTGGCGGCTGAATTCCAGGAATACAAATACCGGAAGAAGACCGGCAAACGAAAATTTACGGTGGAAGAGAAGTCTGAGAGTTCTAATGGAGACGAGATTCAATCATCGCCGGAATTTGAAGAACCAGACTCGTCAGGACCAGATTACTTGCCGCCATCGGCCAAGCAGTCGAGGACATCGACGACAGTGACGACTCGCAAGAAGGCATGAAAGGATGACGGTGATGATGGAGACAATCAGTGACTGCATGGATTGAAGGAGATGGACACGCAATTTGATGAGATTTCAGAGAGTGACAAGAAGATTGCTGATTTCACTGCTCGAATGCTTAACGCAAAAGAAGAGGCGACGCTAGCAATGGATCAAGGAAAGTTAGAGCAAGGCAGTTTGAGAATAACAATGGCGAGGCACTTTCAATCCAAGATCGATACGGAGCTACGCATCATACACGCTGAGAAGTCAGTGAACAGTAAGAAGTTTGTCAAGGACATAGGTAAGTTACCCACTACATATGGTTCAGATCGAAAAGACCGTAAAGACCCTATCGATACGAGCAACTTAGCATTATTGTCGCGATCTTTGAAAGAATTTGATCAAATTATGCTCACTGCAAATTTACGTAAGAACCTATTCTTCGAGGCTGCGCAACAGAGTTTTAAGCCGCCATCATAAGTATAACAAGTTGGAGAAAGCTGCTATAATAAAGCTAAAGACGTGGAAGGATCAAAGCGAGATGATAGCCCATCTTTTCTCAACCAATCCTAGACCGGAACTATTGGTATCAATAATGGTACCACCGGACGAAGGAATACCAGTGTCACATTACCTTCTGGAACTGGAAATTCACATAACACGTGCTAAATCACAAGAAACAAGTTGAGTATGTGTGTGCTATGGGTACAATCTATTTTCTGGTCGGCTCTACATAGAAAAGACCAAGAAGTGTTGTACGCAGATATGCACCAATCTTTTCCAGACAAAATACGTGAGATTTCAATTGAAGGGCCAACTTAAGGCATCATGAAACTCGCCGACTTGACTTGGACGGAATTTTATTCGAGACCAGACCAGACGTTTTCGAAACGTCCGAGTTCTGTGGTGAAATTCACACCGTCTGCTAAGAAGACGGTGCCCAACACGAATGGAGGACCAGGTAGCGGTCGAGACTCTCATACGGGTACGGGTAATACCAAAGGGAACAAATATGGTGACAGAGGAGGTCATAAGAAAAGCAAGTGCAAGGTACTGATGGTCAAAAGAACAATGTCAACACTCGCGGGACCTTGGGCAATAGATCTGATCAGGCAACTGATCCTCCTAAACCTAAGTATAAGGAGACCAAGGATTGTGCTGAGATAGATTGCAGCTGGCGCATGACCCAACATGAGCCGAATGGACGCTGGACTGGTTGGCACGCAGAAAAATGTAAACATTTTATCGCGAAGTGTGCATCCTGTAAAGGGACTGGAGGTTACCACAAACACATATGTAAGGTGCAACCGATAGTAGAAGTTAAGTGACAAACTTACCGGATCTTGGCACTGAAACAAAAGGATGCACCGCAAGATGAGCGCGTCATCCTGGATGTACGAGTTAATGGGCATGAAATAAAAGCGTTGTTGGATCCGGGCACGCAAATTTCATGTTTATCATCGAGATTCTGTCAGATGACTGATGTAACTCGTAAATCAGAACCTACTATGTTAAAGTTGACTGACGAAAGGGAGATTACGTGTCGTGACATGGCCGTAGATTTGAGGTTTACCCTAACAGATCAGCGGACCACAATGACTAAGGCAGTAGTCTGTAACACTTTGCCAGATTACGATTTAATAGTGGGAATGTGAGATCTGTTATCGTTAGGTATATCAATTACCGGTTTGCCTACTAACATTGACCCACAGAAGGATCAGTCAGATGACAATCTGCTGAAGCCTGTATACAAGCCTTCTAAGACTGTGAAGGAAATGATACCCCAATTCCCAGAGAAGCTAAAGGATCTTATCTTTGGGAACAACAAGATAAAAGATCACCGATTGGGCTCAGTTTAAATTCAACAACGGATACGTGAGCTTGGATTTGACAAAAGTAGACTTTTCGAAGTTGAAATGTCCAACGCGAAATTATGTAGCGTGGCGTCATGAACAGGTGGTACGAGAACAAGTCGAACCTACTCCTGTCAACTTAGCACTCTTAGCTGTAGATCAGTTCAACTTCGAGGACACGTTAAAGAAGGTTCGCGTGTGTTTGGATATGAGTCCTATAAACGCTCTTATACCCACACATAGTTTTCATTTACCAAGAATCAATGAATTGCTGACAAGAATGGAAGGTGCAAAAATATTTTCAACCATCGATTTGAAGCAAGGCTACCACCAAATGAAAATATACAAACCACATTGGAAGTATTTCACCTTCACTTGGGATGGACAGCAGTATTCTTTTAAAGGAGTCCCTTTTGGTTTGCATATGCTACCAGTCTTCTTTCAACAAATCATGCAAGAGCTGTTTAGGGATATGGACAACGTACAGGTATATATCGATGACATTGTCGTGTGTACTAAAACTAAAGAGGAGCATGACAGGGTTGTAAGAGAGATACTGGCCAGGCTTAACAAACACAGGTTTACGATCAACAGCAAGAAATGTCATTTCGGTGTGAACGAGATACAGCTGTTGGGTTATCGTGTATCTGGGACAGGCATACTGATCGACCCCGGAAGGGTAGAACACTCACTAGACTGGAGAACCCCCACTACAGGCAAGGACGAAAACTCGTTAACTGCCTGTCAGATGGAGTTCCACACCTGGCAAACTACTTGAAGCCCTTCGGACATTTAAGATGTCACAAGGGCAAATTAGGAGCGTTGTGGACCAAAGACTGTGATGATGCCATTAAGCAGCTCAAAACAGTGGTTCAACAAGCCCCAGCAGTCCAGCCACCGAAAGATGAAGTACCCTTCGTGGTGGCTACAGACGCATCCGAAATGGCGTTGGAAGGTGTTCTGTATCAAATGATTGACGGGAAACCGAGATACGTGCCGTTTTTCAGCAGAGCTATGAACTCGTCACAAATCAATTATTCGACTGTGCAGCAAGAGCTACTAGCTATTGTGACCGCACTCACTCATTTTAAGGATTACGTTTATGGTACACATTTCAATGTACTGTGTGATCAGAAATCGTTGCAACATTTAAAAGACATGAAACCAAATTCACAATTGGTCAGTCGATGGTGTAAGTTTCGGTCTATCAAGGCGATATGAACGCCTTAGAGTAATTAAACGCTTAGGTTAAATCTAAGTATAATTAAATTCAAAGTAAATAAACGAAATGAGTTCCTTTTAGTAAAGTTAGGTATGCCTCGTGAAAACAGCAATACTCTGAGGGATTGTGAGGCTGAGACATTGCCTATATATAATCCTCACAGTACCGTTTTCGCCGAAGGGATTTTATTTAGTGTTTCGTTGTCGCTCTAATAGAAACTATGGTATGTTTAGTTGGGGCGAATCCGAGAGACTCATAAAATCCTATCTTTAGAAAAGAAAAGAAAATACTCTTGATGTCCATAGTTATTGCATTAACCAATAACTTGCCACTTATCAAGAATTACCGACTTAGCCTTCATCAGACTGGCACATCTGGTTGGCTGAACGGAGGATAAACTAAGCAACGCCAATAGTCCTTAGAAACCTATATTCTTTTGAGCCATCTCGCTGCCGAAGTATTCAGATACAAATAGATTTGGAAGGTTAATATAGTTCTAATAATAGAACTAGACCAAATCTTATATTTGGTATTTTACTTGGGCCTTTTAATGGACTTGTCCAAATATCTGATATGTAAAATGGAAAAGGTATTTAATTAATAAAAACCGTTAAACCCCATTTTTAAGAGTTTACGTACTTTTAAGAGTACGTTTTACGTACTATTAAGAGTACATTTGTATTACACGATTCTAATGTGGAGGCCCGGCTTTTACAATGGCACGATACGATCGCAAAGTTTTCTTTTAGCATAACACATATACCGGGTATACACAATCATTTATCGGATATGCTGTCACGCTTCGTACCGGATTTCAACAAGATGGTTCGGGAATTGCTAGCTACGGATTGGAAGGTCAATCCTAGGTGGTTTAAAATTGCAGACAACATACATGGACCACATACCATTAATATGTTTGCAGCACATCATAATGTGCAACTGCCGCGATACCGGACTCTGGAACATCCCAGACGGTGATGGGTTTCAAATCGATTTATCCGATGAGAGCGCACGGGCGAATCCGCCGTGGTTGTTGATACCACAGTTGCTGAATTATGTTCATATACAAGATGCTACCATCACGTTGTGTTGTCCTCTAAGACTGAATATTCAGATGAATGGCTACCACAGTTGATATCGATGGTACAATGTGAAGCCATATATGTGGATAGAGAGGTAAATACTTTCCTCTACCAGGGTACCCGTGCAGTCCAGAAGACTCCTTGGCGACATACAATAATATGTCGAATAGGTCCAGTTGGTACAACCAAATGGACACCATCCGAGACCTTCAAACGTAAGGTCGAAGAATCCAAGATTCCACTCTTGACACCTAAGTCTCAACGAGAGGCTGGGGCGACACACGCACCTGCAGTATGCGTTACCGAGGTGCAATCTGATCCTAAGGATGTAAAGAGGAACTCATCACTAGCGAAGGCATTTTACAAAAAGATACGTTCTGACAGAGAAACTGCATACGAGGCCGAGACCATGCTACTCAAACAGTTGATGAACGATTATCCAGATGTATACGACCATGTAACCCAACTAATGGACCAAGAGAACATTAGTAGAATTCACACGGCCGACCTTTCAGGCGAGATTGGACGAGACGAGTCTTCGAGTCCAGGTGATGTAGTAGTGAACTCTTCACCTCCAGATTTTGAGATAGCAAGGTAAACGGAGGGCGACATTCTGAAGTGGTTGAGGCAGAATCATGCACTTAAACACATGGATAAGGTTAGGACTGAGAAAGATTGTAAGAGGTACGGGATTGTACACCCAAAGCTCAAGCAATATATATCTCAGGTGTATCACGAATGCAACGATTGCGAAGTTAACCGGATCAAGTGCTATGGATATGCCCCATTGCGGAGTGTATCAGAAGACGAGCCATGGCGCAGGGCTATCATTGATTTGGCTGAGCTACCCACGTCCGAACA